GCCCCTGGCCCACCAGAGAGGGAGATACGAGGGGGTGAGACTTAAGGTTAAGTCGGGCATGTCCCTCTACAGGGGGGAATATTCGGAAATAGTGAAAATGCATGATACGGGGACGATTTTTGGATTATGTGTTGTTCATGTTTGGGCATTGTTTGACTATTTTTGATTTGTCATCCAAAATCTGCCTGTAGGGGACATGCCCGACCTAAACTTATGGCTCTTGCCAGCCTCAGGCGCTTCTGGGGTCAATCGGCCTTCCAACCAGCCAGCCAGAGAGTCAGCGAAATGTGGCCTTCTGGCCCTTTCTGGTCCGTTTGCGGGCGTCCCTAGCGTCCCTCCGATCAGCGTCGGCAAAGACGTCGTTCTGCAACTTGCTGAAAGTCGTCAAGACGATTGAGCAGCATTGTTTCAAACGATCCTCCACACACCTCGTTCAATGCACGCTCCTGCTTGTCATCTTTCAACGCCGTCCTGAAACACTTCTGATTAGAATGAATCCCATGAATCGATTATCCTATGTGCTTGGTTGCGTAATCAAAAAAAAGAGAGCCGGAACATGACGTCAGCAGATCCAAGCCCACAGAAGCCGCATGCAGCCAAGATTTGTGGACCACCATGGTGTGGGACAAGGCAACAACTTGAGCGCGCGGGGCCTGCTAACACACCCGGATGACAAGCCCAACAAGCACGCACGGAATAATGATCGCAGGCGCGATGAAGCATTCGTTATCACCAATGGACTCGTGAGAGGGGCCATGAGGGTCGCTCGAATCTTCTTTCCGCACGGTTGGGTACACCTGCGTGATGCTCGTGTTGGCTTTCATCCGTCTAGCAGCTTGCAACTTGGGCCATGCACTCGCATGGTCAAGACAACACATAAACACCACCCCTGGGCATCACGCAAGCCGTGCTTGAACAGGAAAGAGCTCCGTTGCAGCACTGCGTAACACAATTGTTCAAAACTCTTCTCAAAGCACCGACTTGAGCTGTAACCTCTGGATGCATCGAATCCGTGGAACAAGTATCAGGAGGGAAAGAAACACACAGACACATTTAATCGTCGATTCCCCCGAAAATGTAGGGAAATATGTGAAGTGGGGGGGAAGACGAAAACCCAGACAATATGGGAAAATATGGGACATATTTTTATTTGTGTGTACTTATTTGTGTGTCCTTGGGCCCCTTCAAAGTAGGCGTACCAATATGCTGTACTGAGCCGTGGGAACCAGCCGGCGCTGCACACCCCAAGCTTCAGAGCGAACGACGCCCTCGGCATCGCTGAACGGCTGCCGCTGCGCCTCAACGGACCCAAGGCCAGCGAAACGGAACAACGCGCGAGTCTTGCCCCGTTTAAGAAGATACGCGTACGCCGCGTACGCCGCCGCAGTTCAGTTGTCGCACAAGCTTTCACATTGCCCACGATCTCGCACGCTCGAACAAGTCAAAGGTTGCGCAAGGTCATCCATTCGGGGGCAATTACGGGGGGGATAAGGCTCAGGGGAGGACGCATCGAGCCCCAATCGCCCACTCATAGCCCATAGGGGCCCGACAGCCCACCCCGCCTAGGAACGTGCGCATTCGCTATCGGTGGCCAGTTGCTCATCTATCGACGATGTATCGCCAATTCCAGGTCGATGTTCCCCCCCCCGAGCTGGGCCCTCCCTAACGTTGCCCCCCATCGATTCTCCCTGCTGCGCCAAAGTGCACTGATCCCGCATGCCGCCCGTCCGCCGGCCCTGCGCCGAAACCGGAGATCGACGGTCGAGCTGAGAGTTCAAAGAGCAGCCTTGCAGCAGAGAGGCGCAACGCCACTGCGCGGATCACCCGGCGGAAAGCGAGAAAAAAGACAAAGCCCCTAAGAGCAGCCCCAGCAAGACCTCCGGAAGTAATCCGCGCACACGCCGTGATTTTTTCTCTTGCGATCCACGACTGTCTTTGCAGCATGCTCAGCATCGTGGGATAGTCTTCCGCGCTTCCGCTCGCGGCCCCGAGTTCGCAGGCAGGCGCAGAGGATCTCAGCAATTTCAGCGGCGCCATCGACAGAAAATCTGGCGGCCAAGAGTCTCGCGACAAATGCGCCCATTGACATCGGTGGCCTGGGAAAAGCAAGAATCTTCGCGACGCTGGCAAATTCAGTCTGCAAGGAAGCAAACAAAGCACCGAAGGAGAGCTTATTCGTCATAGCCCATGCACGCCACATTGCACAAGTTGGCATCCGTGGATCCTCCGTTGAGCCCACCTCCAAAAAAAGTCAACGCAGAATTTGTCGCTGCAAGGGCGGGTTTCCGCCAGATATTCATAGACATGGCCCCGCGTGCGCAAAAATGCAAACGAAATTGCATCAGCTGAGAGATCGGTATCAACGAGATTGTCAGCCCGATCTTGTCTCAACCGAATCACGCATGCTGAGGTGCGGCCCTTATAACAGCATTGCAAATTGATCAGCTATCCCGCGCTTCTTTCCACAGGCTATCAGCGTGGCAGCACCATCTGACTTCTTCACGCACGCTGCCGATTGCTGCGCGGGCTGGCAGACAGGCTTCAGCACACTGAACATGCGCCGCATCGGCACATCTGTCGCTGCTGCTGCTGCACCCCATCTCGAGCCGCTTCTGCTCAGCAGAGTCAGCGGAATGTATGTGTAAAGAGTTGTTCCTGCTTTCTTCCGACAGCCCATCACTGGCAACGCCGATAAAGATAAAATGGTTGAGACGAATATCCCAAAAAGATAAAAATATAATAGGCTGAGACAAACAATACTTTTGAGACAAATACGGCCACGACGTTAACAAAAAATCCGTTGAGACGAACATCCCAAAACGAGGTACTGCAACCCACCAGCGGGGACGGCTAGAACTACCCCACCTTCGGCGGCCCCGGCCCGCCAGAGGGCCCTGGCACAAGGCATCGCCCAGGCAGGTGCGCAGGTTGTTGCTGCCAAGTGTTGAGTCGGGCATGCGCCTCTACAGGACAAACGTTCAAGTATACTCACAGAATAGTTTGGTGACGTTTGCTACTATGTTCGGCTATGTCTGAAGATGCATTGACTACGTTTTCATTGCTCGCCAAAACCCGCCTGTAGGAGGACATGCCCGACCTAAGCCAAGTGTCCGAAAACGCTTCCTGCGAGCGCCTCTCCGCAAGGCGAAATGGAATGCGCCCTGGCGCGCGTAGCGCCACCTTGCGCTTCGCGTGCTTTGGCTTCGGGAAAGTTCGCATTGCTGCGTCTCATATTGTTGGAACTGCCTGGCAAAACAGTGCGAAGTTGTGCCACTATTGAACGGGACTGGCGGCAACTCAGCGAGCAATTGTTGGGAACGATATACATTCACCAGGTCTTTGGGGCCGCGTTTGTCATATGGCGCCAGCCAGCGCCGCGCCATCGAACGTGAAGAAGTAGATCGCGCGTTGACTTGGGGGCAAGTCGCACGGTGGTCGTCGCGCCCAGCCCCCGCGGTATACATCCGTGGCCAATGAGCTTTCAACGCATTCAGCATTACAACACTGAATAATGTAATCGTCCATGGTCGCACATCCATGCCCAACATATGCGTGTTGGGCCGCTCCCTTTTGCCCACACTTCTGGCCACGCAGAGGGCTCCGAAGTTCGCAATCAATCACCCACGTTTCACACATATGGCAGTTGGCCGCGTTAGTCGGCAACGCGTCACGGCCCCACGCTTGAGGGGCGCTGCAGATCAGCAGTTAGCACAGTGCTGCCAGATTCAATCATCACGATCGTTGGGAGGTCATGCAGCGCGTGCGGCAGCAATGCCGCCGCTTCTTTTCACAACGGCAAGCACTCTTGGCGCCCTTGACACGGTGCATGCAAAGAAGCGACAAAGCGACACAACGCCGTGATACTACAAATACAACCAATACCCTCAGACCAGCAGAATGAATGACGACGTCATTGATGCGAAAAAAAACACTGCGCTTTCCTTGAGAGAAAAAAGAACCGATATGCGGACTAAAACTTGGAGCAAGAAAGTAGAACATAAAAGTAGGACAAGCTAGCACCCTGAATCACAATGAATTTGTGCCCGCTGATGCTGTCCTCCACCATCCTCCGCCCCGTAGCATTGTTGCGCATGAAAGTGTCGAGACTCGAGCTGCGCCAAAAATACTTCGACTTTCGCAGGCGCCCGAGTTAAAGCATCATCACCAAAGGGTCGCGGCTCACATGCTGCGATCGGCACGCAGTCCATCGGCTGGCGATGGCTCGAAACAATCCGCTCAGTAATGAAAGGTGCTCGAAAGAATATCAATCGTCATGCTGCCCAAGTGCATGGACCCAGCCTCGTGCAAATCATTCGAATACTTTTCCCTCCATTGGGCACGGGACCACCCGAGGACCAGTGCGCATCACTTTTGATTGGGTCGGATTGGAATACAAAGTCCGCAAAAGCAGCGGTGTCGTTGATGTCCAGATGCACGGATCCATTACCTGATGCTTCGCGCAAGCTACCGGCGGGTCCATTCCAAGGATGACCGCAATGAGAGCACATGCGCGCATTGATAACTGCACGAAAGAACTACGCACGACAATGTTGAGACGATGCCGTGGCAAACCAGAAGGCAACGTCAGCAGATGGCAGGGTGCTTGGAAAGATGTTGCCTGTCACGTGGCAATCAGAGTCTGGACAGACTTGCCCACATGTGTGCTCATACTAGGATCATAGCGGACGCTTCCGTTGCGAATGACTTCGACATTTCATTTTGCATTGTTCCGACACAACGTCGTGTGATCGTTATCAACAACAAGAAATGCACACACGATTCCAATATGCATCAGGGTTCTGCCCAGCCCCTCGCCTAGCAAACATAACCCCCACGCTGGAACAGGCGATGTTTCAGTTGCATTGCGAGTATGGTCTGAGGATCCCTTTGCCGCTCCATCCAAGTAAATGTCAATTGGTCGCATCTGGGCTCCCAGCATATATTTCGGAGAAGTCGCCGGTCTTGCAATTGTGGCATCCACCAGCGTGGCCGCACACAAGGTCTACGACAAAACAGAACCGAAAGGTTGAGGCAAATACATCACCCTATTACGATCAAATACATTGTTGACCTGCTGCTGGAAAGCCCATGCAGGGAAACGCATGCCGCAGATTTCGAGACACGAGCCCCAGTTTCGAGTTGAGGAACTAAGATGAGTCCAAGGGCACACTGCGTTGCAAGAACTCTGCCCTCACCTCCGTAGCCACGTTGGCTCAAGTGGCCATATACCGAGGCAACTGGCCAGGTCAGCTCGGGCCTGTCTTCAGGCTCGGCACTCGACACAAGGGCTTGGAGGCAGGCCCTTCTGGCGCAACCTCCTCCAGTCTCACTTTCGCAAGTTGCGAGTTCAGAGTCACCCGGGCAGCCATGGGAGATGCCGCGCCTGAGTGGTCCTCGGCCTTCGTCACAGGACACTTCGCTGCATTGACGAAGACGGCTACCGACGCGAACAGCCAGCTGACGGGCCAGATCAAACAACTGGACGGACGGATGGCTGCACTCGGCATCAAAGTACAGCAGATGGAGACACGCATCCAGGCTTCAGAAGAAGCTATTAACACAGCATCAGTGACAGCCTCCAGCACGCTTGGCACAGACAGAACGAAGCGGGCTAGAGTGGGTATGACAGCTCGGACAGCACCAGCGATTCGTGTAGACTGTGGGCAAGTGGATATCCACGCGCTGTTCTTGCTGCCACGAGACAGACGACCTGGCAGCAGCCCCAGCAAGGAGCACCGCGCCACCTCATGGACGGCACCACAGCGCAGCTTGCAAAAACGCTGCCAAGTTTCTCCATCCACTCCAAGAATGAGGACACGGCAAAGAAATTCAAAGAATGGTTCATCCAGCAGCAGCTTCAATGGAAGGATGCTCGAGACGGATCATGTCATGCTCTACGCATTCGCACCGACCTCCCAGATAACGCCCGTCATCGACAGAGACGCATGTCGCATTTATGGGCGCCGATCGTTCAGTTCTTGAAGAATATCAACAGGTACCAAGCCGACTACAAGATCGGCGCAAACGGGTTCCGCAACGAGCTCTTCATCCGCACATCTGATGACTTATTCATCTGGGCAAAAGGTGAACGGGGCGGGCTCGGCAGGCTGGCGCTCAAGCCCAACACGGGCGACCTCGCCTTCTGGGGCATTCCCGTAGACCAGGTGCAGCAGTGGATTGACGGACGCGGCAGTTCACGCTGATGGTCTCCGACGCCAGCTTCTTCGGCGGCACGCTGCGCGGGGACGACAACGGACATTGCCACAAACACGAACTCGCAGATCACATGATCATCTGCTTCCTGCTCCTCGTCCACGTCGAGCGCCTCTTCTTCCTGCTCTTCTGACTCTGTTCATGATCTGGCTAGCCAGCCAGACGACCCCCATTTTTTGCAGCCGCTGCCACCTCTGACTGTTCCCGACTGGCCCCGCGGCCAGCATGCAGTGCACCAGCAGCCTTTTCTCCCCGCCTCCTCGCTCGATATCGTTTCCTGGAGTGCACCTGGTCTCTTCGGCTCGGCGCGGACCCGTCGTCAGATGAATGCTTCGATTAGATGCAAGACATTCCTCGGACTCTGCAAGCGCCACAACATTGTTTGCATTCAGGAGACTCACGGGGCTATCGCCGACACCAACTGTATACGACAAGAATTTCGACATGCGAATGTAGGTTGCACTATGTTCCAGGACGCCACCAGGGCTGGAGGGCCTGTCGCTTTCATCGCTGCTGATCTTGCGCAGCAGTTTCATACCATTCAACACCATGTGATTCAGGAAGGCAGGATGCTGATGAGTGTCATGTTGGGGGGGGGGGGGCAAAGGGAACTTGGCGATCATGAATGCCCATCTGCCGAACTCGTGCGAGTCGCTAGCAGTCTACGCATCCAGCCTTGACGAGCCACTCGAGGTTTTACCGTCTGCCGAGCAGTGTTTTTTTTTTCAGTTATCTTTGGGGGCTGGAATTCTACCTTGGAGGAGGAAGGGGGGATGTATCCTGACGGGACGGGCCGGTCCCGAGGCGACGCGCATTTCCACGCGCTCTTTAGCCAGAAGTGCTCGGACTGCATTGAATTCTTTCAAGCAGATGACACTCGTCGGGAGATGAGGGACGGGAGCATTGCCCACATTGCGCGTTTAGACCGCATCTACTCCAACATTCCAGCGGCGGTCGCTGCTGACCTTATTATTCGCGCTTCAGTTATAGGTAAGCTCTGCCAGGCCCGCGTCCCTGATCATATCCCACTGTTAGTCGTAATTGACACTTTCAAGCCCCCCGCTGGCCTGGATAGCGGGGCCCCCAACTGGATTAGCAAGAACGAAGTCTATCAAGAACTACTTGGCACGGAGCTTAACAACAAAGCCGAGGAGCTTCACTTACTAAATGATGTTGATGCTCTGAAGGCTGTTAAGGCTATCATGTTCTCAGTGGCCAAGCGCGCGGCATGTCCTTTCCAATCAAGTTGCCTCGCCATGTATTCTGAAGCATCACTGGCGCATGGTAGCCCTGAGGGGGGCGCGTGCACAGCAGGACCACATGGTGTGCAAGGCTGCCAGTTGCTATCCCGAGCTCCAGAGGTTCTTTGGCTGCGAGACCCTGCTCTGTCACGACCGCCATGGTCTTTGCGAACTGACGCAGGAGATTTATGTTAAGATTTTAACTGAGGAGGAGAAGGGGAGTGAGAACGATAGCAGCATGAACGATGATACCAAGAAAGCTGCACTAGCAATGCTATGGAGGAAGATGGAGCTTCGGAGGGAAGTCAGAAGGCGGACATATCTCACTGCCGTACTAGACGCGAACGGAAGCCCGCGTAATACATTCGAGCAGTCGGCCAACGTGCTTGCTGAATATTGGGGAAGTGTTGTTTTTCGCCAGCTACGGAAGATCGTCCCAGGTGGGCGGAAATGCTGAGACATGTTCAGATGGCCCCGAGGACCTCGAGGTTTCCTGGAAGATTGAATCTGTTATTTTTTGAACATATACGACGCTGCCGCAACTCGATGCCTGGACCAGACGGTATTCCATATGCGTGCTGGCGAATTGGAGATGCGCCGCGATACCTCTACAGTTTTTATCTTGAGATTGCCAATGGAAATGTTTCAGAGCTGCCTGACGATATGGGGGAACTACTGATAGTTGCCCGACCTAAGGGTGAGCAGGAGGGGGACGGAACAGGGAACATGATTCGGGATGCAGCCTGCACGCGCCCGCTCTCCATGTCTAACACCGATGCGAAGATCCTCTCTGCTGCGTTCTGCCACCCATTGGATGAGCTCTCTAAAGTGACTGTCGCACCCCTCCAGAAGTGTGTTAAAGTTAGACAAATGCTCACGAATGTAGCGCAGACAGAAAGTTGGGGGCTGCAACAAGAGTTGCTCGCACATGGCTCGGCTGCCATCCTCTCGACTGATTTCTCCGCTGCTTTCCCGTCGCTTCTGCATGTTTGGATGTTTGCCGTGCTCAATGCTATGAATGCCCCCTCCTTCATCACTAACTTCTACTTCATGCGCTATAAGAATAACCAGGGCGCGGTAACTCTTGGTGGGCAGAAATCCGGAAGCTTTCCTATCCAGAGGGGGTTGCGTCAGGGCGACCCTAGCTCTATGGCCCTCTTCTGCCTTTGCATTGACCCTGTATTGCGATGGATACAACATACCCTCCCCACCCATGTTGCTCTGTGCCGTGCGTATGCTGACGACTGTTTTTTTGGAATGGTGGATGTCTTTCGCTCGACTACTGCCGTGCGGCGCATGCTTCTCGTTCTCGAGTCAGCTATTGGGCTGGCGCTCAACTTTCGCAAGTGCACTGTTCTGATATGTGGGAGGGCTAGGAAGGAGGAGGTCAGCGACATGCTGTCCAAGGAGGCGAGGGGTTTGGAGCTGGTGGGAGTAAGTTCTGCTATCAAGTACTTGGGGCGGTATATTGGCCCAGGTGCTGCCGGCATGGCATGGGGTGCCCCAGTGTCGACATTTGCTGCAAGATGTGCGATGCTCCGACAGCTCGCCCCTGGATATGCGATGACAGTTTCTACCTTTTTGGTAATGTGCCTCTCTGCACTCCAGTTTGTCCTCCAAGTTGAACCAGACACGAAACAGGTCATGCATATATGCAAGCACATGTTACAATGCCTGACGAATGGCCCGCACAATGCACCCTCGTAAAGCATGCTCGTCTCGCTCCAGAAGCTCGGGTTTAGCATCGAGTCCCCAGATATTGTTGCTCTCTCGCGTGCATGCCGCACCCGTCTTGCTGCGAAGCGCCCCGGCATTCGCGAGTGCTGGGGCGAGCTGCAGAAGCTCACTGGAAGCAGCGCAATATGTCACGCCAGAGTTGTCGACCCACGGGGATGGCATCGCAGGTCGTTTTTTATACTTAAGATGTTTGAGGTGGCGCAGAGTGCCCAGAATATTGCGCAGCTCCCCGATCTTCCCCCTGATACTCTCCAACGGAAACTCTACGCCCGTCTCCACGCCCTTCCTCTTCTTGGACCTGCGGCGCTTGAAGGCCTTCAGTATCGACTGGGAAAGTGGCTGCCTGAAGTGGATTGCAGTAATCTCTCCCATCGTGCCCTTCAAAACCGACGCAACGCAACAGCGACTTCCCCTTGCCTTGCTTTGTGTGTCCTACGTATCTGCACGCGTGCTGTGTGCACGAGTGCTCGCTTCCACTCTCATCCTCGTGGCTGTATCTTTGCATTGCAAATTCTGCCATCGCTTCCGCGAGTTATGTGTCCAATGGATGGGTACTGCGTTTCCAATTGCCCCTGTGATGATTCCATGGATTGCCGCGCTGATTCAGCTCGATCCTCTTCCCCCGAATGTGTCGCTGCTGTGCGCCTGCATGCGCGATGCTTTCCTGGGTCCTTTCCTGCATGCTCACCACTGCGTGAGGCTGGGCCTGCCTGGCGCTGCCCCGCAAAACTTTGAAGCTCGCCTCCGTCTTTTGACTCGGAGGCATGTGGCTGTTGCCGAGGCGTGGGTTGACCTCCGTGCAGGGCCCGGGTGGCTAGTCCCTGCTGGTGTGTCTTTGGGAGCCGCAACAGCTCTGTCTCAGGGTATGCAATGAACTCCAGGGGCAGCGTCGTCTCTGAACGCTGGCCTTCGGCTCTGGCCGCTGTGCCACTGGGGTGGTGGCGCGGCACTCATGATCTGATCGTGGCCCACGGACACAATGCGGCCAAAACCAAATCCCCGCAGCACCCGGTTCCGGAGCTGCGGGGGCGGCGGCTGAGGCCCCGCGGCAAGCGACGCATTGGAGCGGAGACGACATGGCGACAAGGCAAAAAAAAGATTGATCTGCCCTCACCTGAGCTGGAGGATTACCTGCTTCAGGATCTGACATTACTTGAGGGCGAGCCCCCGACCCCTGGCAATAGCAAATCCAAAGAAAGCATGGCGTTGCCACTCGCGCCCCAGGTGTGGCCACGGAGCGGACGAGAAACCACGCTCTTCCTGCGCAATCTCCGCTGCGGTCCCCGAACTCCCCGCGGCGAGCTGCGGGGTCTCGGAGTCTCGTCCTGCGTGTCCGACGCCGGGGGCGCCGCTTTGGGATCCTCGGGCAGCATGAGGGCAGGCGGGGGAGGCGGCATCCCTTCTGGTGCCGCCGCCAAGGCATCCCTCGGCTCGGAGCCCGTCCAGGTTTGCCGCCTGAGGCCGATCAGCGTGTCCTTCGGCCAACCGGGGGGGCCTTCCCTCGGTCGTCGGCTGGCTGACCGTGCGGGTGTTTTTTAGTGGGGGTCGTCTCCAACTCCGTGAGGCCCGCCGATCCTCTCCTGAGCCGCCTGCATTTCCTCGCGGGCCTGGGGCGCTGCTTCCGCCCGTGCGGTGACCTGCCGGAGGCCGTCGAGCCGTTGGCCCAGCGAGCGGGACGCGAGGAAGGGCGCCTTGGTCCCGCGACCTGCACGTTGATGACCACCAGGGCTGGGCTGTTCATCATTGCGAGCGGGCCGCAGGCCTTCATGCGGACGGTGCGCTGGTCGAGGGTCTGCTTCTTGGAGGACGCGGAGTCCACCTCCACATAATTAGACCTCGGCCGAGGCCGCAGAGGATGGTGAGGTAGATGTGGAGGTCCTAGCCATCGGATGCCCGAACATTAATTTGGGCGCTGCCAGCGACAGTGGGGGGCATGCGGCCGCCTCTTGCACGTGCGACTTCGGGGCCTGGCAACATCGACAGTGCGAGTAAGTTGTCCCTCTCCTCATCTTCCTGCCCCTCCTCCGCCGCCGCCTCCTCCTCCTCCTCCTCCACTTCCCCCCGCCCCTCCCCTGTCCTCCTGCCCCTTTTTTTCCCGCAGCCATCTTGGCCCCAAACGCGGCCCAGGAGCCCAGGCGGCACGCATCCGAAGCGGACCCCGCCGCCGAGGAAGCCCACAGCCAGCATGGCGAGGTCCATGGCCGCAACCGCGGCACTCGCGGGCTGCATCAGCCAGGGTGCCGCCTTCGCGCCCAGCGCCCCGGCCAGCGACGCCTCCCTGCGCAACGCTGGGCTCCAGAGCGGTGCTGCCGACGCCGGCGCTGGCGCTGCGCCGCAGCCGCGTTCCGCGACCACCGCCGTGGCGGCCGTGGTAGTGGCCGTGGCTGGGGCGGCGCTGACCCGCACGCGCAGGGGCGGCAAGCAGTCCGCGGTGGCGTGCCGTGCGGAGCTCACGGAGATCCCCTACGGCGCCGAGCGCGTCACAGCGAACCCGGTGGCTGGCATGGTGGGCGCGCCGTCTGAGGCCGAACGTTTCCTGATCGGCGGGGACGAGATCTACGACCCTCTCAACATCGCTGCCAGGTGAGGCGTTCCAGAAATGGCCTCGCCCTCGAAGGACCGAGGTGTTCACATTTCTTCCCTGGCGGAAGCCGGCGAAAGCAGAGCGGGGGCGGTTTCGCCAGCGGAAGGCAATATCATGACTTGGGGGTGCCAGGGGTTTCGGAACCCGCCAGGTGCCCGCAGTACCTGCCTTGGTTCCGGGAGGCCGAGCTGAAGCACGGGCGCGTGGCCATGCTCGCCTGGGTCGGCATGGTGGTGCCGGACTTCGTGCGCATCCCCGCCTTCGGAGACGTCGCCGGCTGCTACGAGGCCTCCTCGACAGTCGCCGCCCACGACGCTTGCGTGGTGGGGAACGCAAACGGGCTGGGCGGGCCCCTCTTCCAGGTCTTCGCGTTCTGCGGCTTCTTCGAGATGCTGACCACCTACCCGAAGTTCTGCAAGACCGGCAACGAGGTGACCATCGAGAACGCCGGCGACTACAAGCTGGGGATCAACTTCCTTCCCACGGAGACGGCGGCCAACGGCATGAAGTTGAAGGAGCTCAAGAACGGGCGCCTCGCGATGCTGGCCTTCAGCGGCGCCATCACGCAGGCCGTCGCCACGGGCAGCGGCTTCCCCTGGCTGGGCGCCGTGGCGACGGAGAAGGCCGGCAGCGGCTTCGGCGCCAGCGTGAGGCCCGCCGCTGGGGCCCTAGCCAGGGGCGCCAGCCGTGTGGCCATGCGCGCGGGGCCCGAGGGCGGGTACAAGATGAGCAAGGCTGTGCCCTTCCTGCCGGTGTCTCCGGCTCTCGAGGGCTATGTCGGCGAGGAGGACGGCTTCGACCCGATCGGCATGTCCCTCGCCTGGGACATCCGCTGGCTGCGCGAGGCCGAGCTGAAGCACGGTCGCGTGGCGATGCTGGCTGTGGTCGGCTGGATCACCACGGACCTGGGGTTCCGCGTCCCCGGCCAGCCCTTCGCAAACTTGTCGACCCTCGATGCGCACGACGCCATGGTCAAGTTCGGCTCCATGCCGCAGATGCTTTGCTGGGCCGGCTACTTCGAAGCCTTCGGCTTCCTGGCGATCATCAACGCGATGGAGGGCAAGACCGACCGCAAGCCAGGCGACTTCGGCATCCGCACTTGGTACCCCAAGGACGAGAAGGGCCAGTACGAGATGCAGCTGAAGGAGCTGCGGAACGGCCGGCTGGCCATGCTGGCTTTCGGCGGCATCGCCACCGCGGGCGCCTTCTCCGGCAAGACCTGGCCCTTCTTCGGCGTCGACGTCTTCGCGGAGGGCTCCACGCGCCGCGCGGCCTCCGTTGCGGGCACGCAGTCGTCGTTCTGCGGGGCCTCCAGGGCGCCGCAGCGCAGCAGGACCAGCGCAGTGGCTGCCCGCGCCGAGGTAAGCCGCAGCTTGCCCTTCATGCCCAAGCCCCAGAACCTCGCCGGGTACGTCGGAGAGGAGCAGGAGTTCGACCCGCTCGGCTTCTCTGACACCTTCGACATGAAGTGGCTGCGCGAGTCGGAACTCAAGCACGGCCGCGTCTGCATGCTGGCGACTGTCGGCTTCGCCACCCAGCAGTACGCCACGTTCCCCGGCATGGCGCCCACGGAGAACGCCCTGAACGCAGTCTACACCGAGACCAACGGCCTCATCACTCTCATCTTCCTCGCCGGCTACATCGAGAGCCAGACCTACAACGGGAAGGTCACGATGCTGGACATGTTCGAGGGCGAGGAGGACAAGGTGCCTGGGGACTTCAACTTCGGCAGCGGCTTCCTGAAGGGCAAGACCGACAAGGAGGTCTACGACATGAAGCTGAAGGAGCTCAACAACGGCCGGCTGGCGATGCTGGCCTTCGGCGGCATGGTGCACCACAACCTGGTCGTCAACGGACCCCTCTTCCCCATCTTCCCCGACGGCTGGAAGGGCCCGCAGGGCACCTGGACGGTCAACGGCTTCCCCATCGAGAGCATGGCGAGCAGGCTGGTCGAGGAGGGCGGCGGCAACAGCCCCATCGGCGTGCAGAACCTCTTCTGAGCCCCGCGTGATCTGAGCCCTGCAGCACTGGCGGCAGCACGACCGGGGGGCGGTCCAAGCCTCTCCGCACGATGGCCAGCAGATGGGGCGCTGTGGCCGCTGGCACCGTCCCAAGTACGCCTCTTCGGGGGGTCAGTACCGACGAGAGCTCACAGGGTTGCAGCGGCCCGACGTGAGTACGCCTCTTTGGGGGGTCAGTACCGTCGAGGTCCTAGGGGAGCAGCGCGGAGCCCGCGGAGAGGCCAGGTTGCGTGACGTGGTGGCATGGATCACCAGCGTCGAGTACTGCTTCCTCGTCTGAAGTCTGGGCCGGGCAGTGTCACAGCGCCCGTCGGGAGTCGGCGTTTGAAGTCGGGACCGCCCATGTGATATGTCCACTCCACTCCTGCTCTTCCGCCTCCTCATCCTCCATCTCCTGCTCCACCTCCTGTCCTTCCTCCTGCCCCTCCTCCGCCGCCTCCTCCTCCACTTCCCCCCGCCCCTCCCCTGTCCTCCTGCCCCCTTCTTTCCCGCAGCCATCTTGGCCCCAGCCGCGGCCCAGAAGCCCAGGCGGCACGCATCCGAAGCGGACCCCGCCGCCGAGGAAGCCCACAGCCAGCATGGCGAGGTCCATGGCCGCAACCGCGGCACTCGCGGGCTGCATCAGTCAGGGTGCCGCCTTCGCGCCCGGCGCCCTGGCCAGCGACGCCTCCCTGCGCAACGCTGGGCTCCAGAGCGGTGCTGCCGACGCCGGCGCTGGCGCTGCGCCACAGCCGCGTTCCGCGACCACCGCCGTGGCGGCCGTGGTGGTGGCCGTGGCTGGGGCGGCGCTGACCCGCACGCGCAGGGGCGGCAAGCAGTCCGCGGTGGCGTGCCGTGCGCAGCTCACGGAGATCCCCTACGGCGCCGAGCGCGTCACAGCGAACCCGGTGGCTGGCATGGTGGGCGCGCCGTCTGAGGCCGAACGTTTCCTGATCGGCGGGGACGAGATCTACGACCCTCTCAACATCGCTGCCAGGTGAGGCGTTCCAGAAATGGCCTCGCCCTCGAAGGACCGAGGTGTTCACACCTCTTCCCTGGCGGAAGCCGGCGAAAGCAGAGCGGGGGCGGTTTCGCCAGCGGAAGGCAATATCATGACTTGGGGGGGCCAGGGGTTCCGGGAACCCGCCAGGTGCCCGCAGTACCTGCCTTGGTTCCGGGAGGCCGAGCTGAAGCACGGGCGCGTGGCCATGCTCGCCTGGGTCGGCATGGTGGTGCCGGACTTCGTGCGCATCCCCGCCTTCGGAGACGTCGCCGGCTGCTACGAGGCCTCCTCGACAGTCGCCGCCCACGACGCTTGCGTGGTGGGGAACGCAAACGGGCTGGGCGGGCCCCTCTTCCAGGTCTTCGCGTTCTGCGGCTTCTTCGAGATGCTGACCACCTACCCGAAGTTCTGCAAGACCGGCAACGAGGTGACCATCGATAACGCCGGCGACTACAAGCTGGGGATCAATTTCCTTCCCACGGAGACGGCGGCCGCCAACGGCATGAAGTTGAAGGAGCTCAAGAACGGTCGCCTCGCGATGCTGGCCTTCAGCGGCGCCATCACGCAGGCCGTCGCCACGGGCAGCGGCTTCCCCTGGCTGGGCGCCGTGGCGACGGAGAAGGCCGGCAGCGGCTTCGGCGCCAGCGTGAGGCCCGCCGCTGGGGCCCTAGCCAGGGGCGCCAGCCGTGTGGCCATGCGCGCGGGGCCCGAGGGCGGGTACAAGATGAGCAAGGCTGTGCCCTTCCTGCCAGTGGTTCAAGGCTCTCGAGGGGCTACTCCGGCTGAGGAGGGAGGAAGGCTTCGAAACCGATTCGGCATGTCCTCGCCTGGGGACATCCGCTGGCTGCGCGGGCCGAGCTTGAAGCAGGTCGCGATGGCGATGTGGCGTGGTCGGCGTGGATCACCACGGCCTGGGGTTCCGGCGTCCCCGGCGAGCCCTTCGCAAACTTGTCGACCCTCGATGCGCACGCCGCCATGGTCAAGTTCGGCACTCCATGGCCGCAGAAGCTTTGCTGGGCGGCTACTTCGAAGCCTTCGGCTTCTGGCGTCATCAACGCGATGGAGGGCAAGACCGACCGCAAGCCAGGCGACTTCGGCATCCGCACTTGGTACCCCAAGGACGAGAAGGGCCAGTACGAGATGCAGCTGAAGGAGCTGCGGAACGGCCGGCTGGCCATGCTGGCATTCGGCGGCAATAGCCACCGCGGGCCGCTTCTCCGGCCCCGACCTGGGCCCTTACTTCGGCGTCGACGTCTTTCGCGGAGGGCTCCCCCCCACGCGCCGCGGCGGCCCCTCCGTTGCGGCACGCGTCGTCGTTTTCTGCGGGGCTCCAGAGGCGCCGCAGCGCAGCAGGACCAGCGCAGTAGTTGGCTGCCCGCGCGGAGGTAAGCCGGCAGCTGCCTTCATGCCCAAGCCAAGAACCTCTCCGGGTAACGTCGGAGAGGAGCATGGAGTCGACCCGCTCGGCTTTCTCTGACACCTTCGACCTGAAGTCGGCTGCGCGAGTCGTGATTCAAGGTGATGCACGGCCGCGTCTGCATGCTGGCGACTGTCGGCTACTTCGCCCACCAGCAGTACGCCACGTTTTCCCCGGCATGCCTGCGCGGAGAACGCCCTGAACGCAGTCTACACCGAGACCAACGGCCTCATCACTCTCATCTTCCTCGCCGGCTACATCGAGAGCCAGACCTACAACGGGAAGGTCACGATGCTGGACATGTTCGAGGGCGAGGACGACAAGGTGCCTGGGGACTTCAACTTCGGCAGCGGCTTCCTGAAGGGCAAGACCGACAAGGAGGTCTACGACATGAAGCTGAAGGAGCTCAACAACGGCCGGCTGGCGATGCTGGCCTTCGGCGGCATGGTGCACCACAACCTGGTCGTCAACGGACCCCTCTTCCCCATCTTCCCCGACGGCTGGAAGGGCCCGCAGGGCACCTGGACGGTCAACGGCTTCCCCATCGAGAGCATGGCGAGCAGGCTGGTCGAGGAGGGCGGCGGCAACAGCCCCATCGGCGTGCAGAACCTCTTCTGAGCCCCGCATGATCTGAGCCCTGCAGCACTGGCGGCAGCACGACCGGGGGGCGGTCCAAGCCTCTCCGCACGATGGCCAGCAGATGTGGCGCTGTGGCCGCTGGCACCGTCCCAAGTACGCCTCTTCGGGGGGTCAGTACCGACGAGAGCTCACAGGGTTGCAGCGGCCCGACGTGAGTACGCCTCTTTGGGGGGTCAGTACCGTCGAGGTCCTAGGGGAGCAGCGCGGAGCCCGCGGAGAGGCCAGGTTGCGTGACGTGGTGGCATGGATCACCAGCGTCGAGTACTGCTTCCTCGTCTGAAGTCTGGGCCGGGCAGTGTCACAGCACCCGTCGGGAGTCGGCGTTTGAAGTCGGGACCGCCCATGTGATATGTCCACTCCACTCCTGCTCCTCCGCCTCCTCATCCTCCATCTCCTGCTCCACCTCCTGTCCTTCCTCCTGCCCCTCCTCCGCCGCCTCCTCCTCCACTTCCCCCCGCCCCTCCCCTGTCCTCCTGCCCCCTTCTTTCCCGCAGCCATCTTGGCCCCAGCCGCGGCCCAGAAGCCCAGGCGGCACGCATCCGAAGCGGACCCCGCCGCCGAGGAAGCCCACAGCCAGCATGGCGAGGTCCATGGCCGCAACCGCGGCACTCGCGGGCTGCATCAGTCAGGGTGCCGCCTTCGCGCCCGGCGCCCTGGCCAGCGACGCCTCCCTGCGCAACGCTGGGCTCCAGAGCGGTGCTGCCGACGCCGGCGCTGGCGCTGCGCCACAGCCGCGTTCCGCGACCACCGCCGTGGCGGCCGTGGTGGTGGCCGTGGCTGGGGCGGCGCTGACCCGCACGCGCAGGGGCGGCAAGCAGTCCGCGGTGGCGTGCCGTGCGCAGCTCACGGAGATCCCCTACGGCGCCGAGCGCGTCACAGCGAACCCGGTGGCTGGCATGGTGGGCGCGCCGTCTGAGGCCGAACGTTTCCTGATCGGCGGGGACGAGATCTACGACCCTCTCAACATCGCTGCCAGGTGAGGCGTTCCAGAAATGGCCTCGCCCTCGAAGGACCGAGGTGTTCACACCTCTTCCCTGGCGGAAGCCGGCGAAAGCAGAGCGGGGGCGGTTTCGCCAGCGGAAGGCAATATCATGACTTGGGGGGGCCAGGGGTTCCGGAACCCGCCAGGTGCCCGCAGTACCTGCCTTGGTTCCGGGAGGCCGAGCTGAAGCACGGGCGCGTGGCCATGCTCGCCTGGGTCGGCATGGTGGTGCCGGACTTCGTGCGCATCCCCGCCTTCGGAGACGTCGCCGGCTGCTACGAGGCTTCCTCGACAGTCGCCGCCCACGACGCTTGCGTGGTGGGGAACGCAAACGGGCTGGGCGGGCCCCTCTTCCAGGTCTTCGCGTTCTGCGGCTTCTTCGAGATGCTGACCACCTACCCGAAGTTCTGCAAGACCGGCAACGAGGTGACCATCGATAAACGCCGGCGGAGACCAGCGGGATCAATTTCTTCTTTGCTCTGGGGCTGCCGCCAACGGCATGAAGTTGAAGGAAGCTCAAGAACGGTCGAGCCTCTGCGATTGCCTGGCCTTCAACGGCGCCATCACGCAGGCCGTCGCCACGGCAAGCGGCTTTCCCCTGGCTGGGCGCCGCGCGACGGAGAAGGCCGGCAGCGGCTTCGGCGCCAGCGTGAGGCCCGCCGCTGGGGCCCTAGCCAGGGGCGCCAGCCGTGTGGCCATGCGCGCGGGGCCCGAGGGCGGGTACAAGATGAGCAAGGCTGTGCCCTTCCTGCCGGTGTCTCCGGCTCTCGAGGGCTATGTCGGCGAGGAGGACGGCTTCGACCCGATCGGCATGTCCCTCGCCTGGGACATCCGCTGGCTGCGCGAGGCCGAGCTGAAGCACGGTCGCGTGGCGATGCTGGCTGTGGTCGGCTGGATCACCACGGACCTGGGGTTCCGCGTCCCCGGCCAGCCCTTCGCAAACTTGTCGACCCTCGATGCGCACGACGCCATGGTCAAGTTCGGCTCCATGCCGCAGATGCTTTGCTGGGCCGGCTACTTCGAAGCCTTCGGCTTCCTGGCGATCATCAACGCGATGGAGGGCAAGACCGACCGCAAGCCAGGCGACTTCGGCATCCGCACTTGGTACCCCAAGGACGAGAAGGGCCAGTACGAGATGCAGCTGAAGGAGCTGCGGAACGGCCGGCTGGCCATGCTGGCTTTCGGCGGCATCGCCACTGCGGGCGCCTTCTCCGGCAAGACCTGGCCCTTCTTCGGCGTCGACGTCTTCGCGGAGGGCTCCACGCGCCGCGCGGCCTCCGTTGCGGGCACGCAGTCGTCGTTCTGCGGGGCCTCCAGGGCGCCGCAGCGCAGCAGGACCAGCGCAGTGGCTGCCCGCGCCGAGGTAAGCCGCAGCTTGCCCTTCATGCCCAAGCCCCAGAACCTCGCCGGGTACGTCGGAGAGGAGCAGGAGTTCGACCCGCTCGGCTTCTCTGACACCTTCGACATGAAGTGGCTGCGCGAGTCGGAACTCAAGCACGGCCGCGTCTGCATGCTGGCGACTGTCGGCTTCGCCACCCAGCAGTACGCCACGTTCCCCGGCATGGCGCCCACGGAGAACGCCCTGAACGCAGTCTACACCGAGACCAACGGCCTCATCACTCTCATCTTCCTCGCCGGCTACATCGAGAGCCAGACCTACAACGGAAAGGTCACGATGCTAGATGCCTGGACATTTTTCGAGGCGCAATCGACAAGGTGTGCCTGGGGACATCAACTTCGGGGCAGAGAGGCTTCCTGAGGGCAAGACCGAAGTGGTGCTTCGGATGCTCGCAAATGAGGAGCTCAACAACGGCCGGCTGGCGATGCTGGCCTTCGGCGGCATGGTGCACCACAACCTGGTCGTCAACGGACCCCTCTTCCCCATCTTCCCCGACGGCTGGAAGGGCCCGCAGGGCACCTGGACGGTCAACGGCTTCCCCATCGAGAGCATGGCGAGCAGGCTGGTCGAGGAGGGCGGCGGCAACAGCCCCATCGGCGTGCAGAACCTCTTCTGAGCCCCGCATGATCTGAGCCCTGCAGCACTGGCGGCAGCACGACCGGGGGGCGGTCCAAGCCTCTCCGCACGATGGCCAGCAGATGTGGCGCTGTGGCCGCTGGCACCGTCCCAAGTACGCCTCTTCGGGGGGTCAGTACCGACGAGAGCTCACAGGGTTGCAGCGGCCCGACGTGAGTACGCCTCTTTGGGGGGTCAGTACCGTCGAGGTCCTAGGGGAGCAGCGCGGAGCCCGCGGAGAGGCCAGGTTGCGTGACGTGGTGGCATGGATCACCAGCGTCGAGTACTGCTTCCTCGTCTGAAGTCTGGGCCGGGCAGTGTCACAGCACCCGTCGGGAGTCGGCGTTTGAAGTCGGGACCGCCCATGTGATATGTCCACTCCACTCCTGCTCCTCCGCCTCCTCATCCTCCATCTCCTGCTCCACCTCCTGTCCTTCCTCCTGCCCCTCCTCCGCCGCCTCCTCCTCCACTTCCCCCCGCCCCTCCCCTGTCCTCCTGCCCCCTTCTTTCCCGCAGCCATCTTGGCCCCCAGCCGCGGCCCAGAAGCCCAGGCGGCACGCATCCGAAGCGGACCCCGCCGCCGAGGAAGCCCACAGCCAGCATGGCGAGGTCCATGGCCGCAACCGCGGCACTCGCGGGCTGCATCAGTCAGGGTGCCGCCTTCGCGCCCGGCGCCCTGGCCAGCGACGCCTCCCTGCGCAACGCTGGGCTCCAGAGCGGTGCTGCCGACGCCGGCGCTGGCGCTGCGCCGCAGCCGCGTTCCGCGACCACCGCCGTGGCGGCCGTGGTAGTGGCCGTGGCTGGGGCGGCGCTGACCCGCACGCGCAGGGGCGGCAAGCAGTCCGCGGTGGCGTGCCGTGCGGAGCTCACGGAGATCCCCTACGGCGCCGAGCGCGTCACAGCGAACCCGGTGGCTGGCATGGTGGGCGCGCCGTCTGAGGCCGAACGTTTCCTGATCGGCGGGGACGAGATCTACGACCCTCTCAACATCGCTGCCAGGTGAGGCGTTCCAGAAATGGCCTCGCCCTCGAAGGACCGAGGTGTTCACATTTCTTCCCTGGCGGAAGCCGGCGAAAGCAGAGCGGGGGCGGTTTCGCCAGCGGAAGGCAATATCATGACTTGGGGGGGCCAGGGGTTCCGGAACCCGCCAGGTGCCCGCAGTACCTGCCTTGGTTCCGGGAGGCCGAGCTGAAGCACGGGCGCGTGGCCATGCTCGCCTGGGTCGGCATGGTGGTGCCGGACTTCGTGCGCATCCCCGCCTTCGGAGACGTCGCCGGCTGCTACGAGGCCTCCTCGACAGTCGCCGCCCACGACGCTTGCGTGGTGGGGAACGCAAACGGGCTGGGCGGGCCCCTCTTCCAGGTCTTCGCGTTCTGCGGCTTCTTCGAGATGCTGACCACCTACCCGAAGTTCTGCAAGACCGGCAACGAGGTGACCATCGATAACGCCGGCGACTACAAGCTGGGGATCAATTTCCTTCCCACGGAGACGGCGGCCGCCAACGGCATGAAGTTGAAGGAGCTCAAGAACGGTCGCCTCGCGATGCTGGCCTTCAGCGGCGCCATCACGCAGGCCGTCGCCACGGGCAGCGGCTTCCCCTGGCTGGGCGCCGTGGCGACGGAGAAGGCCGGCAGCGGCTTCGGCGCCAGCGTGAGGCCCGCCGCTGGGGCCCTAGCCAGGGGCGCCAGCCGTGTGGCCATGCGCGCGGGGCCCGAGGGCGGGTACAAGATGAGCAAGGCTGTGCCCTTCCTGCCAGTGTCTCCGGCTCTCGAGGGCTACGTCGGCGAGGAGGACGGCTTCGACCCGATCGGCATGTCCCTCGCCTGGGACATCCGCTGGCTGCGCGAGGCCGAGCTGAAGCACGGTCGCGTGGCGATGCTGGCTGTGGTCGGCTGGATCACCACGGACCTGGGGTTCCGCGTCCCCGGCGAGCCCTTCGCAAACTTGTCGACCCTCGATGCGCACGACGCCATGGTCAAGTTCGGCTCCATGCCGCAGATGCTTTGCTGGGCCGGCTACTTCGAAGCCTTCGGCTTCCTGGCGATCATCAACGCGATGGAGGGCAAGACCGACCGCAAGCCAGGCGACTTCGGCATCCGCACTTGGTACCCCAAGGACGAGAAGGGCCAGTACGAGATGCAGCTGAAGGAGCTGCGGAACGGCCGGCTGGCCATGCTGGCTTTCGGCGGCATCGCCACTGCGGGCGCCTTCTCCGGCAAGACCTGGCCCTTCTTCGGCGTCGACGTCTTCGCGGAGGGCTCCACGCGCCGCGCGGCCTCCGTTGCGGGCACGCAGTCGTCGTTCTGCGGGGCCTCCAGGGCGCCGCAGCGCAGCAGGACCAGCGCAGTGGCTGCCCGCGCCGAGGTAAGCCGCAGCTTGCCCTTCATGCCCAAGCCCCAGAACCTCGCCGGGTACGTCGGAGAGGAGCAGGAGTTCGACCCGCTCGGCTTCTCTGACACCTTCGACATGAAGTGGCTGCGCGAGTCGGAACTCAAGCACGGCCGCGTCTGCATGCTGGCGACTGTCGGCTTCGCCACCCAGCAGTACGCCACGTTCCCCGGCATGGCGCCCACGGAGAACGCCCTGAACGCAGTCTACACCGAGACCAACGGCCTCATCACTCTCATCTTCCTCGCCGGCTACATCGAGAGCCAGACCTACAACGGGAAGGTCACGATGTTGGACATGTTCGAGGGCGAGGACGACAAGGTGCCTGGGGACTTCAACTTCGGCAGCGGCTTCCTGAAGGGCAAGACCGACAAGGAGGTCTACGACATGAAGCTGAAGGAGCTCAACAACGGCCGGCTGGCGATGCTGGCCTTCGGCGGCATGGTGCACCACAACCTGGTCGTCAACGGACCCCTCTTCCCCATCTTCCCCGACGGCTGGAAGGGCCCGCAGGGCACCTGGACGGTCAACGGCTTCCCCATCGAGAGCATGGCGAGCAGGCTGGTCGAGGAGGGCGGCGGCAACAGCCCCATCGGCGTGCAGAACCTCTTCTGAGCTCCTCTGGCTCCCTGCCACCTTCATCCTGCTATCCTGGCCGCGGCCAAGCGGAGCAGTCGTAGTTTTTGAAGTGCGCCCGCCTCCTCCTCCTCCTCCTCCTCCTCCTCCTTCTCCCCCTCCCCCTCCTCCCTCCTCCTCCTCCTCCTCCTCCTCCTCCTCCTCCTTCTCCTCCTCCCTCCTCCTCATCCTCATCCTCACAATCATCCTCCCTCCTCCCTCCTTCTCTTCTGCCTCTTCCGCCTCCTCCTCATCCTCCTCCTCCTCCTCCTCCTCCTCCTCCTCCTCCTCCCCCTCCTCCTCCTCCTCCTCCTCCTCCTCCTCCTGCTCCTCCTCCTCCTCTTCCTCCTCCTCCTCCTCCTCCTCCTCCTCCTCACAGTCACCCTTCTCCTTTCGACCGCACGCCGCCAGACCTCTGCGGGAAGCGGGCCCGCCCCCAGCAGACGTGGGGAGGCGTGCACGCTTCCGTGGGCCGTGCCCCCGGGGCTTCGCGCCGGCGAGCTGCGCGCCACATGGGCTGCGGCACCGCGGCCGCCCGTGTTCGAAGTCTTCCGGCAGGCCTGAAAATGCGGGCTAATTCGGCGGCGAGCGAGGGGGGGCAATGAGAAGGAGAAGGCCTTCGCAGAAGGCCGCGGGACTTCTCAGAAGCCCTCGCGCCTTGGCGAGGTTTTCTCTGTCGTCGGGGGAGGTTTAGGAAACTTCTCAGAAGGCCGAGGGACTTCCGAGCCTTCTGAGAAGGCCCGCTCCTTCTCACTTCCCCCCCGCGCTCGCCGCCTGGTAATTCGAAGAAGAAAAACGCCATCAGCATAGATCCGCGCTGGGCCCCCCGGCGGCGCCTCCGGCGCCGCCCCTGGCGCGCTCCAGGGAGGGGGACCCAGCGCGGATCCAAGAAATCCGCGGAGCGCCAAACGTTTTGTTTTCTTCTAGTAATCACGGAGCGCCCGTCGGCATCTATCACCCAGGACCAGGGAAACGGGCGGCCGCCATCGCGCGCACGTTTTTCTCGCATGCGACCGATGGGGGGGTGGCCCTGGCGGGGAGGCAGCAAGCATCCAGAGGGTTCGCCAGCACGTTATATGCCGACCATGTGTGGCTGCTGCTCCTGGCCATGGGAAGGCAGGCGCCAGCGGCCTGCGTGCCGCGTGGGCTGCGGTGCTAGGGCCGCCGGTCTTCCGTCGAGGAGGAAGATCGGCATCATTGCAGGATCCGGCATGAATAAGGAACATGTACTTGTCAAAAAAGCGCTCGGTCGTTCCTTTGGTTTGCATGCGCTCCGCTGCCTCTTTGGGCGGCGAGCCTCCCTGGTGCTCCCTGGAAAAAGGGGCGTCGTTCCTTATTCATCGTTCCTTCGGGCAGGCCGAATCCTGCAAGCATCGATCTCCGTGGGTCCGCGCGCGATGTTCTCGGGTCGGCGCTGTGGCCCCCCCCCTCCCCAGCGCGCGCAGACGCGCCGAGCGCGCCCAAAGGGGGCCCCCAGCGCCGATCCGAGAAGCCCGCGCCGACCTCCGGAAGTGTATATTTGACTACCTACCAGACCACCCCAACCCAACCCGAAGACCCGAATTTCACGTTGGGGGGGGGGAAAGGGCTCCACATGTGTTTTCCCCCCACTGGAAATCGAGGGTAAATCTAAGCCACAGTCTGGGCCCTGAAGCAGGAACCCTTTGGTTGGGGAGGGGCTCTGAGTTCCTTAAGTGTTTCACAGCTTGCCTCAGGTTTTCCTTCTGTTTTCTATAGGAAGTCGAAATTTAACTCATGGAAAAAAGGGGCGTCGTTCCTTATTTAGGGTTCCCTAGGTCAACGCCGCGACTGTATGTTCACGCCGGCTCCTTCAGTTCACAGTGGGGAGGACGGGGCGGCCGCCCCCCTGGTCAGGGCAGGGGCGAAGGGAGGGGCCGAGGGCTTCGGGGTCGAACCCTCCCCCGGCAGAGTTGAGAAGTTCGTTCTCCCTCCTCTCTCTCCGCTTCGCGCTCTCTCTCTCTCTCTCTGTCTCTCTCTCTCTCTCTCTCTCTCTTTTTACCTAGCAGCGAAGACTGATAGGTTTTTTAGTGGTCTCAAAAGAAGAGAGCATCATGACTCCCCAGGGGGGTCTGGGCAGATGCCGGACGGGATCCGGGGACTCTTCTTTTGGCCAACAGTAACGCACTTCGTGGTCTTCGAGTTCCCAGATCTCCATTCCTGGGCATGATTTTGAATGCTCGGAGCCAACTGTAGGCCACTTCGTGTTCTTCGAGTTCCCAGAACTCCATTCCTGGGCATGATTTTGAATGCCCGGAGCCAAGTGCAGGCCACTTCGTGGTCTTCGAGTTCCCAGAACTCCATTCTTGGGCATGGTTTTGAATGCCCGGAGCCAACTGTAGGCCACTTCGTGGTCTTCGAGTTCCCAGAACTCAATTCCTTGGGCATGATTTTGAATGCCCGGAGCCAACTGTAGGCCACTTCGTGTTCTTCGAGTTCCCAGAACTCCATTCCCGGGCCACATTTTGAATGCTGAGGCAGGCTGATGCTGAGGCTGAGGCAGGCTGAGGTTGAGGCCGAGGCTGAAGGCAGACTGAGGCTGAGGCTGAGGCTGAGGCTGAGGCTGAGGCTGAGGCTGAGGCAGGCTGAGGCTGAGGCTGAGGCTGAGGCTGAGGCTGAGGCAGGCTGAGGCTGCAGGCTGAGGCTGAGATGCAGGCTGAGCTGAGGCAGCGAGGCTGAGGCCGAGGCTGAAGGCAGACTGAGGCTGAGGCTGAAGCAGGCTGAGGCTGAGGCATGCAGGCGAGCTGAGCTGAGGCTGAGGCAAGCTGATGCGAGGCAGGCTGAGGTGAGCTGAGGCTGATGCAGGCTGAGCTGAGGCCGAGGCTGAAGGGCAAGGACTGAGCTGAGGCTGAAGCCAGTGCTGAGGCTAAAAGGCTGAGGCAGGCTGAGGCTGAGGCTGAGGCTGATGCAGGCTGAGGCTGAGGCAGGCTGAGCCTGAGGCCGAGGCTGAAGGCAGACTGATGCTGAGGCTGAAGCAGGCTGAGGCTGAGGCTGAGGCAGGCTGAGGCTGAGGCTGAGGCAGGCTGAGGCGGAGGCTGAGGCTGATGCAGGCTGAGGCTGAGGCAGGCCGAGGCTGAGGCCGAGGCTGAAGGCATACCAGATGCTGAGGCTGAAGCAGTTGAGGCTGAGGGCTTAGGCTAAGGCAGGCTGAGGCGGAGGCTGAGGCAGCTGAGGCTGAAGCAGCTGAGGCCTGAGGCTGCTGGGCGATGCGGCTGAGGTGAGTCAGGCGGAGGCTGAGCCGAGGCTGAAGGCAGACTGATGCTGATAGGCAGAAGCAGGCTGAGGCTGAGGCAGAGGCTGAGGCTGAGGCTCAAGCCAGTCTGAGGCTGAGGCATGCTGAGGCCCGAGGCAGGGGCCGAGGCTGAAGGCCAGACTGATCTGAGGCTGAAGCAGGCTGAGATGAGGCTTGAGGCTGAGGCAGGCTGAGGCTGAGGCAGAGCAGGCTGAGGCTAGAGGCAAGGCTGAAGTGCTGAGCTGAGGCTGAGGCAGGCTCAGGCTAGAGGCAGGCTGAGAGCGGAGGCCGAGCTGCAGGCAGACTGAGGCTGAGGCTGAGGCAGGCTGAGGCTGAGGCGGCTGAGGCAGGCTGAGGCTGAGGCAGGCTGAGGCTGACTGGCTGAGGCTGAAGGCAGACTGAGGCTGAGGCTGAAAGCAGGCTGAGGCTGAGGCTGAGGCAGGCTGAGGCTGAGGCTGAGGCTGAGGCAGCTGAGGCTGAGGCTGAAGGCTGAGGCTGCAGGCTGAGGCTGAGGCAGGCTGAGGCTGAGGCAGGCTGAGGCTGAGGCTGAGGCAGGCTGAGGCTGTGACTGCGACTGCCGTTGCCACTGCGACTGTCATCGCGAATGCGATTACGACTGCGAGAACAGCAGAATTCTACAACTGGATTCTCATCTGAATCTTAAGGGGAATGCTTCCAGATATGCTCCTACACATCGCTGTTAGGTTGCTTTGCCAGGATAATTTCCCCTCTTCCTCTCGTTCTTCCCCTCTGTGTCCTTCCCTTTCTCTCTCTCTCTCTCTCTCTCTCTTTCTTTCCGTTTCCCTCCGCTCCCACCTCGCGGGCTGGGCGAATTCGGCGACCCCAGGAGTTCGCCAAGAGGTCGTCTCGGATCGGGTTCTTCGGCGAAGCCCTCTGGCGCAACCCCGGTCCCAGTGCAGCGCTGCTTGGCCCAAGCTTGGCTGTTCGGGGGGGGGGAACAACAGCCCCCCCACCCGCAAGAACGACCACGACGGCGACTACGACGACAGCGGCGATTAGGATTAAGTCGGGCCTGCCCCTCTACAGGAGGAAAATTCAATAACAGTAATAGTATGGGATCGATTTATTACTATTGTTGGATGTTTTTGGTTTATGTTTTGTGTAGTTATTGATTTGTCGTCCAAAAATCCGCCTGTATGGGGGACATGCCTGACCTAAAGTTAGGAAGATGACTGCAAAGCCAGACGCTTCCACAGGCGCCCCCAAGGAACCCTCGAGTCCGTACTACAGGGGCCTTTGCCGATGGGACCCTTACTAAAGGCACCATCACTAAGGAGGTCTTACCAAAACGCACCCTTACGAAGGATCCCTTACGAATGGCAACACCACCAAGGGTCCCTTACTAGTGGCATTAGTACCAAGAACCCACTACTAAAGGAAGCCTGAGCAGTGATCCCCGACCAAGGGAATCCTTATTGAGGGGGTCCTTACTAAAAGCATCTTCGCTAAAGGCTCCTCACTGAATAGATCCTCACTAAGGATCCTTATTGCGAACGGCTGTAGATGGACAAGAATATCGTATTCTTGCGAACCTCAAGGGAATGCTGATTATCCCCTGACCCTCCCAATACGAGTGTTGATCTCGCTGCGAATGGCGACTGAGGTGCACAAATACCTTTGTCCACCCAAGCCCCCCTCATCGCCACGCGGCGGGGGGAGCATCTTGCACCGCAGGGTACGTTTTTTTGTGTCAGACGACGACGATGACGGCGCCAGACATACGACGATG